CTAGAATTCTTTAAATCATATTTTTATTATTTATTTCAAACTTTATTGGATTATGATATGAGAATATATCCTATGAAATGTTTATTATTTTGAATTTACTCAGGATTTCTTTGAAATCAAGTACATGATTCGTTCTTATAAAATCTCTTTGGACATATAAAAAATTAATTATACTCTCTATAGGATGTAAAGTTCTTCCTGTATCTACCTATTAAATTAAGTTCATTGATTAAATATTTAATTTTCCACATATTTAGTTTCTAATATATCTGTCTAAATATGTATATTATATATTGCTGTGTAACAAGTTACCCCAGTACTTAGTGGCTTAAAACTATAAACATTTAGTATCTCCCAGTTTCTGTGGGTCAGAAATTTGAGTGCAGCTTAGCTGAATGATTCTGGCTTATGGTCTCTCATGAGGTGGCAGTCAAACTATTGACCGGGGCTGCATTCATCTGAAAGGTTGACTGGGGCTCAAGGACCTATTTCCATGATTGCTAACTCACGGGGCTGCAGGCACAGCATTTTGGTTCCTCACTGGTTATTGGCAGAACAGCTACCTGGGGCCTCTCCATAGGGTACCTGAGTGTTCTCATGATATAGCAGCTGGCTTTCCCCAGAGTGAGTGATGCAAAAGAGAGAGAAGGCAGGAAACTGTAGTGTCTTTTATGACTTAGTCTCCAAAGTTGCACACTATCGCACCTGCTTTTTTTTTTTTTTCCAATTTACTAGAAGCAAATTACTAAATCCAACCCACATACAAGAAGAGGCAAATTAGGCTTCACCTTTTAAAGGAAGTGTCAAGAATTTGTAGACATTATTTGTAGACATTATTTTAAGCCAATAATTCAATCTGAATTTTGTATTTGTGTTTGTATTTTTAAACAGTTTCTTCTTGCATTTATTGTAGTTAAATATATGAAGAAAAACTTATTCTTTTGTTTACTGAGTACAAGTTCATGAATTGTATCTCTTCATAAGTGTCTTTTATTATGTAATGTTGCTTTGTGATCATGTTTAGCACTTTTAATCTTAAATTCTTAAACTGTCTTATATCAATATTTACATTCTTGTTTTCTCTTTTTCTCTTGTTTTCAACCTCTCTTTACCTATTTTTTTAATGTGTGTTTCTCACAAACTATATATACCTGAGTTTTGTATTTTAATATAGTCTAGTAATCTTGGTATTTTGATGGGAGAATTTAACCCATTCACATTTAGTATAACAACAGATATTTTTGAAAATTTTTCTTCTATTTTACTTTGCTTACTACTTATTTCACTATGTTTCATCTTCTCCCTTTTCTTTGTGCTGTTTTGGTGAAGTTTTCTTTATTGTTTTCTTTGGTGTTTTTACTGTGCTTTTCTATTCAGTAGTGGTTATCTTCCCATTCCTGACATTTCTGATAAATAATGTGTGTGTATATTTCTCAGATATCTATAACTTTATTCTTCCACCATTATCTTATCTCTCCTCCAGTAAGATAAATGTATTTATTTTCACACTTTCCATGTGTGTCCCCTATTGGGATGAGATTTGTGGAGAATTTGCTTTTCTCCCCTAACCTCCCCTGCAAATTCAAGTTACTGCTCATGCCATATTTTTAGTTCTTGACCATTATTAGGTTTTTCTTCATAGAATGTCTCTTCTATTTCTAGAATCCTTGCTTAGTACTTAAATTCAAGTTCCACATTATCACTATTGATTTATATTTATATTTAATTATATACTGGAGGGCTCATTGTTCATTGTTCACATCTATATTCTATATATTTGTTCCTCTTGGATCTTTCCCTGGCTGTTACTTCGTTAGAATATTTTCTTGAATGTTTTCCTCTATGGGGCATGTGGGTGCTATATTCTCTGAATGCAAGCTCCTTGAATGCAGGACTTTGTATTATTTACCTCTGTGTTTCTAGCACCTAAAACTGTGTCTAGCACATAACAAGCAATCAATACATGTTCATTGCTTTTGTGGTATTAGATCACTGCATACTCACATATGTCTTTCTTCTACTCTGATGATCATCTATGTTGTTGCTGATATTTGATCCTTTACACATCTGCAAATATTATCTATCACCCTAAGAAGTTAATGATGTTTTGGCCAATATAGAATTCTTGGGTCACAGTCCTTTTCTGTCTTTAATTTGTAGATTTATTATACCATCTTCTGCTTCCCAGTACTGCATATGAGAAGTCAAATGCCAGGATGATTCTTTTCTCTTTGTAACTTATTCTTTCTGTCTAGTAGCTTCTAAGACGTTTACCAGGTAATAGGGATATTTTTTCCCCTATCAATTGTGCATAGGATTCAGGAGCTCTTTCAGACTTCAGGCTGAAGTCCCTTTTTAACCATAGAAATCTCCCTCTCTTCGTTATGTAATTATTGCCTCTTCTCCATCTGTTCCTTTTTCCTCATTCTAGAATGATTATTGGCATATTAGTTCTCTTGGCTTTGAACTCTAATTTCTTACTCATTCCTTATGATTTCCATCATTTTGCTTTTTAATCTGTGTGAGAGATTTTTCATCTGTTTGCTTTTTTGGGTCAATAATGTATTTTCCAATCACTGTTTCTTTTAATTAGCTCTAATCTATTGATATTTTAAATTCGGAAAGCACACTTTAAATGGCAAGAATTATTAACTTTTTGTTCTTTATTTATTGTCCTCTCATTTTTTAAAATAACGTTTTCCTCTGTCCTCCAACAATTCTAGCTCATTAGGTGATAGAACTTTAGCAGATCTGATTGGTCTGTCCCTCTCTGGTTACTGGATCCCCTTAAGTGCTAGGTTATTTTCATTTTCTATTCTCTGCTTAAGCTAAATTAAGCCAGTCTATAGTTGAATGCACAACAGTTGCTACTCCTGCATCAAGAGTGTGAAAGGAAGTGTCTATGTTCCTAGGTATCCCTAAATGCAAGTGTTAGTTTTCTTTTAGCTTCAGAAATAGAGATGAAGTTCCCTACACTTTTTCTAGTAAGATCCAGCTCCCTCTCCCCCAAACCAGGACCATACTAATGCTCTGAGTCAGGGTCTCCCCTTAATCAAGGGATGCACAGGTCCCCTCAGGCCTAGTTCTTCCATGTTCTCACCCCAGGGCTCTCTACTGCTGCTCCTCTAGCTCCCTAGAATCCCAAGAGAGCCAATAGCCTCTAGCACCCCTCAGATTCCTCTGGTTTACTCATCCCAGCCAGCTGAAGGCTGAGGGAAGGAAGAGTATCAGAGATGCAGAATCCTTCCTTTTATTCTTTAAGTTTTGATAAGCAATAGCCTATGTTTTTGCAACTGGCTCACACTATTTAAGCCCAATGTGATAAAGATATGTGAATTAATGTATAAGAAAATATAAAATAATGGGATCTTAAAATTAGAAATAACATGGAGGTCATAATAAAATGAATCTTCTCATTTGTATGGTTCTCTATGGTTTTCATGCAATTTTATACACACAGTCTCATTCAAGTTCCAGAGTAGCCCTGTATGGTAAGTATGGAAGTTATTATCCCCATTTTACAGATGAGGGAACTATAGCTCATAAAGATTAAATAATTTACCCAAGGACACATGGGTAATAGTGGAGCTGGACTAGCAAATAAGTCTTCTTATTTCTGGCCCAGGACACTATACTACTGCTTGCTTGCTTGCTTGTTTGTTTCCAATTGTCTTCAGAACGTGTTACATTACATGATGATTTGGGGAATCCCTGAGTTATATATTGTGACCTGTATGATATATTTTTTCAACCATTTCTACTATATTGGTATGAATAATTTTAAATGTATATAAATACTGGGACAGTGACTATAAGGTCATAAGATTTTCTTTTGTAGTTTGAAATCTAAAAAAAGAAGAATTTGAAAATAGTTTGAAAAAGATTAACGTAACTAGAATATGTAGATTATTTCCTGAAGGTAACTTTTTTGAAGGGGGACATACATTTGGACATATGAGTACTTCAATTTTTCTCTTTGTGATGTATTTTTTAAACATTCGAATTTATTTTACTATGCAATAGAACGCACTTGACCATTTCCCTACCAGGCATCATATGCCTGGTGGGTCTGGCATGTTTGTTTGTCTTATAGTTTAGTAGTACAGAAGTAAATGAATCAATATCTGTTATAAAGACCAGACCTTTGTCCTGATCCCGGTTTTTTTCCTACTAACACTGTGTTTAAAAGTGTTATCTCATACTCAGGAGTGATAATCAAAATATTTAGCAACTAATATGGCCTGGTCAGTGAGCAGTCACAACATCTGCCAGCTATCCACACCTGGTGCAATTGTATCAGCCCTGCTCGCAGTTGCATGGTACCTTACACTTTGCTGGGGATTTTCATATCCATTCTCTTGTTTGATCTGGGGAGGGGAGTGGATATAGTATCGTTCCCCTTTTGTAAATTGAGGGATTCACAGCCCCAAGAAGCTAAGCATAGGGCCTCTTAGAATGAAAGACTTTTGGCTCTTGGTTCAGTGTTCTTCCTTGGGTGGAAGTTTCCCTCTTTTCAAGGGAGAAAAAAGAGATAAAAGAGATAAATTTAGCCATTTTTAAAAAATTTTTAAGAAGGTTTTATTTATTTATTTTTGAGAGAGAAACTGAGAGCATGCGTGAGAGCACTGGAGGGGGGCGCAGAGGGAGAAGTAGACTCCCCACTGACTGAGCAATGCAGGCGCCCAAAGTTAGCCATTTTTGATAGGACAAAAATCAGCTCCTTTTAGAGAAAACTCATAGTAGCTAGTGGGTAGAATGAGCAGTCACCATCCCCCTGGAATCTTCCTATCCAAAGCTAATGCTTCACTTCCAAGGTCCCTTGCAGGTGATGCCTGCCCTGGAAGAGTGAAACTACCTCAAGTTAGTGAGCAGATTTTTCCCAGTAGAGGAACTGACTCAGCCTCTTTTCTCCATATTCACAGGGACATTTAAGTACAAAGCCTTACTTTAAAAGTACATTCTTTTAACTGCTTGTTTTTCCCCCTCTCCTCCTTCCACAGAATGGTCTTCCCTCAGGGAGCAACTCATATATTTTTAATGGTGATTTTGTAGATCGAGGAAAACATTCCATAGAGATCCTAATGATCCTGTTTGTGAGTTTTCTTGTCTACCCCAATGACCTGCACTTGAACAGAGGGAACCATGAAGATTTTATGATGAATCTGAGGTAACCTAGGCCTTTAGATTTCCTCTTTTCTCCCATACTGAAAAATACTGCCATGTTTAGTTCCTAGCAGAGAGTTAGAGGTGAGTGTAGAGAAGTAGCGATGAGGGGAATCTCAAGGGAGGCCTCAATTCTTACCTCTATTTACCACCTCAGTCTTCTACTGAGTGAGTATACGTTGCTCCCAAGTCTTCTTCCTATCTTTCTTCCAGTTCTGTCCTTGCTTCTCCCTTCTATTATGTTCTTTCTTTTCCTCCCATGCCTCCCATCACAGGCTAAATTGTTTCCTGGATGGATGTGTTAGGCAAGCTTTGGAGGTGTGGTAGGTTCTATGAGTGGGCTTAGATGAGATCATTCTGTTGCTACTCTTTTGGCTTGCCTCAGTTGTTGTCTGAGAAACTAGTACTGTGTTTTTCACTGATGTGTATATTTTTTTACGACATGGTGATTGCTTCTGGCATAATTGTTCATAAACATATTTGAGAACATCTGTAATATAGCATTTCAACTATCTGACTCACTGGAGATTTGAGGAATAAAGATTGGTTAAATGGTTTACCCAATTTTGCTGAAAGACACAGTCGGGGATAAATATTCCCCTTTCCCTTCTTTCTTCTTCCTTCGCCCCTCCTTTACCAGTTTGCTCTAGGGCAGTAGAAGGCATGACGTGTCTCATGCTTTGGGTTCTAGGTTTTTGGGTGCCTTGATCAAAGCTCAGCAACTGATTAGTTTTGTGTTTGGGGCAGTTTCACCCCCTGGCTTGAGTACTGACTTTCAGTTCTAATTTTTCAGGTATGGAAGCAGATGCTAAGACTATGATGAAAAAAATCCCAGACTGTTATCCGAGGTCCCTTATATGTAATGTAGCTCGGTACTTTTATTTGGGCATGCCACTTATCCTTTCATTTATTCAGTTAGCCAATCATATTTATCTAGTGTCTGTGATTGTTAATGAAAGAGACATGGCCGCTGCCCTCACAGAGTTTACATCTAGCAGGGAAGACTTAGGTTGAACAGGTTTTTCAAGTATGATGAGTTTATAAAGTGGGGACCTAACTTGTCTGGGGGGGTGATAGAAGGTTCTCCCATAGAAGTATAGTATCAGCCTGAGACCTGAGGATGAATTAGGCAATTCAGAGACAGCCATGGTATTGGCTGAGAAATGGTATCCCACAGTGAGGGGACAACTTAGGCAGAGCTTGAGACAACACTTTTTATATGAAAGAACTTTAGGAGGGTAGGAGCACAGACTGAGGGACAGGATGGTCCCTAATAGGGCTGGAGACATAAGACATGGTTGGATCGTGCAAAGGAATTTGGACTTTTTTCTAAGGACAACAAAAATAATCATAGAAGAGTATCATAAAATTTGTGTTTTAAATGCAGCAGGAAGAAATATTTGAATGTGGGAGGCCAATTAGGAGGTAGTTGAAGAGACAGATGATGGATTCTCACGTAGGCCAAGGTAGTAGGGATGGAGATGCAAAGAAGTAGACAGATTCAAGAGGAGTTTAGGCAATGATGGTTTAAAGCCTGGTAATGTGATATGGGGGACTTGAAAGAGGAGAGAATCAAGGATAACCTCTAGGTTCCCGGCTTGAGTTTGGGAGTACATTGGCATTGTTCGCTGATATTGGGAACATGATAAGAAGAAAAGGTTGGGATGAGAGAAAATGGTAAGTTCATTTTGGGGTAAGGTGATTTGAAGTGCTTTTGATTAGGTAGTTGAGTGTATGTGTCCAGAGCTCAGAAATGCAGTGTGGCCTGAAGCATTGTCCTGCAATATTGGCACATAGTACCCAAAGCCCTAGGCAAGGATGAGATTACCAAGAGAGAAAGTAAGGGGAGAAGAGGGCCTAGGACAGAATCTGAAGGAAAGCCACCATTCAAGGTTAGGCAGAGAAAAACTTGCAAAGGAGTTGTAGAATACCCAGAAAGGTACGAGGAAAACCAAGAGGGTTTATTGTCACAGAATCCAAGAGAAGAAAAGTTTTCTAGAAGGATGATGTAATCAACCATATTTAGTGCTTCAGGGAGGGCAAGAAAGATGAGGACTGCAAGGTGTCCTTTGGATTTAACAACATAGACACCTTTGGTGAGTATAGGACTGAATTCATCTCGGAAAACATAACATTACACTGTAGAAGCCTGACGTGACATGATTTGCATGGATACCCGGAATGAATATGCTGTGTTCTGACTTCCCTATGTTGGGCCTTAAGAACGTATATTATTATCTTTAGGCAAGAAAAGTAATAAAAAAAAAATTTCCATCATTAAAGCTCCCTTCATGATTGCTATTCAGGCATGAAAATTCCTGACTCTTTCTATTAAAATCTTGAATACCATTACATGAACTATATCAGAGAGAGTATAAAGGGCCAACTTGTTGTCTTCTATCTAGGCTTTTCTTTGTCTCAGTTCAGTCTCCCCCACCAACCCCCCTTCCCGCTCCTTCATTCATTTACTATAAGGTTTAGGATGTCTGAGAAATACTCTCTAAATGAAAGGCATTCTCCTGCACAGCTTCCCCCAGCTGCCACTGCACACTTCGCTGACTACTTGCAGCATCTACACATCCTATACCTAGCACATACTTCTTAAGTTGCCTTGTAATTGTTTCATGAAAATTTATCTTCTTTCTCCAACTATGCTATAAGCTCCTTCCGAGTAGGGATGATGTCATTGGCTGCTTTTGTTCTTTCCCATCATGCCTAGCAAAAACTTGGGTAAGTAAGAGTTTCAACTAAACCCTAGTTTCTTGAGTTCTTGACACTTGTGATAATGAGATGTCAATGGGTCCCCTTTTTGCGTGACTCACGTTAAGTAGGCGTTATCAACGTTTAATTAGTTTAAATACCACTGTTTTTTTTTTCCAGGTATGGCTTCACAAAAGAAATTTTGCATAAATATAAGGTAAGACTCGGACTTTTTTTTTTTTTTTAATGCATTCTCTTTGCTGTTTATACATAGAACTACAAAAAAAGAGCCTTTGGGAAGGGTGATGGGTAAAAATAAAAGCACAGCAGGAAGCCCTGGCCAGGGTAGACGCCTAATTTTTTTTTTTTTTAAAGATTTTATTTATTTATTTGAGAGAGAGAGAATGAGAGACAGAGAGCATGAGAGGGAGGAGGGTCAGAGGGAGAAGCAGACTCCCTGACGAGCAGGGAGCCCGATGCAGGACTCGATCCTGGGACTCCAGGATCATGACCTGAGCCGAAGGCAGTCGCTTAACCAACTGAGCCACCCAGGTGCCCCGAGGCCTAATTTTCTTCCTGGACCAAACCAAGCTGTTTCATTGTGACCTTTGTGTTAGTTTCAGCACAGATACAAACATATTCTATTGTTGTAAAGGTACCCAGGATTTGTTTTATGGTAAAACATGCAGATACAGAAATGACTATCTTAAAGGAAGAGATTTGTACTCCCTGAGTGAGTGTGGGTGTGGGCTCTGGATTGGTTGGTTTGCATATGAAAGGCACTCTCATCTGCATATGAAGGGCAACTCATCGACAATTTCTAGGCATTAGCTAGCTCTGGGAGGAGCAATCTCTCCTCCAGGGTCAGCAAGGCACCAAGATGTCCAAGTATCAAAAATATAGAACAAACAAACAAACAAACAGAATAAAAAGACATGATTAATGCATGCTGGTGGGTTAGTGACTCCATGCCGACTTCCTTTGCTCCTTTGCCTCGCATGAAAGCTGTTGCATTTTGTGATAAACTTGAACTTACCAAAAAAACAAAACTTACTCAAATTCTTACTTACAGATGCATGGAAAGAAAATCTTACAAACCTTAGAAGACGTCTATACCTGGCTCCCAATTGGTACAATCATTGACAATGAAATCCTGGTCATACATGGTGGGATATCAGAGTCCACAGACTTAAATTTGCTCCACCGTATAGAAAGAAACAAAGTAAGAAATGTTTACATAAATGTCGCAGAGTTTTGTAAGGGGGTATATATATACCTCTTTTCATTTATTATTTTGTATTCATTTGCGTTTTAGTAGTTGTCGTAACTGCAAAAATTAGTATAAATTTTAAGAAAATCTATGATGGCAAGATAAAGAAATGAATGGGTAACTTCTAAATAAGGCAAATATATTTTTTTACCTTCATGATGAAAGTGGAAAACGAGGAAATGTTGGCATTTCATGTAGTTCCTAAAAGTGAAAATCCTGATTTTTAAAAATTAAAATTTCGGATTAATGTTGTAGTAAAATATACATAACATAAAATTGACCATTTTAATTAACCATTTTTAAGTGTACAGTTCAGTGGTGTTAAGTACATTCACACTCTAGTGCAGCCGTCCCCGCCATCCAGCTCCAGAACTTTTCATCTTCCCAAACGGAAACTCTACCCATTGAGCAACAACTCTTCCTTCTCCCCTCTCCCTAGCGCCTGGTGACCACCATGCTATTTTCTGTCTCTGAATCTGACTACTTTGGGTGCCTCATTATAGATGGAATCATACAGCAGTTTATTTGAGTTGCTATGACTTCTCTTATATTCCAAATGGCTCAGGGTATTTTGGGGGGAAATATTTTAAACTGAGTAATCATATTAAGTACAACAGAAGCAGAGCAAGAACGTGTATAGAACCTCTAAGGGAAGAAAGAGTCTGTGTGTGGCCTGTAAAGCTCCCGTACTTAGTGAAGGGCTCCTTTGGCTGGGCCTTGCAGAGTGACTGGAATTATCTTTGTCCTGTACCAGAGCCCAGCCAAAGGCCCAAGACCAGGGGCATAGGAGGACCAATAGCAGCTCTGGAACCAGATGATCGTATATGGTCCTAGTGAGAAACCTGAACCCTTACCCCTCAAGACTGATAGTCAACTTCCAACCAATCTAGGCAAGTAGAGTCTAGAGCTGGAATTTAATTTGATATAGACAGAAAGGTGACCCCTATTCACTTTTGAGTTTCTGGAGCCCTTATACCTTTATGTACATATGAAAGATAGTATTATTGCTAACTTCTTCTCATCCTGAGCCTTCTAAGCCTCAGTTTCTGCACCTGTGTATGGAAGCAAAAAATACCTCCTATATTGAGTTGTTAGGAGGCTTAAATAGAATTACCTAGATGAAGAAAACAGCATAGAGTAAGTTCTGAACACAAAGCTCTCTCCCTCCAACTCTCTCCTCTCTTTCCTGATACTTGGAACCGAAGTTTGATTTTTAGTCGCCAAGACACCCCCTGGGGAGAAGTTTTTGGGCCAGGAGTTTTCCCAGGAAACCAAATTTCACCTCCTTTGGGGGTCATCGTTCCACCTACTCATAAGCCTGGTTTTAAAGATAGAAATTTGACTTGTGTACTTTCTGTGTCTTCTACCCCTCCTAGAGTGAGGTTGAATTGGCAGCACATACTTGTTGTATTAAATACAATTGAACTGTAGCAAAAGTAGTAGGTTTAAGCCTTTGGAACTCTACCAAATGAAATACAAAAGTAGATTTTCAAGTCCAATTTTACATCTTTCCCACTTTCTCCACTTCCCCATCCCTTAGGACCCTCTAAGTGTAGGGATGACCATGCTTGCTGGGTTATGCCTGCTGTTGTGGTAGGATTGTTAATGGCGGTGGGGAGTTGGGTTGGGGGAACTTCATGACAACCTCCTTCTAGGTTCATTAAAGGCATTTTGTAAGGTGGGTGGGTTGGTGGGGGTGTCAATGCAGAGGGACAGAGAAGGAAGATTCTATAAACTGAGATTCTAGTTTAGAATTCTTTAAACTCCCTGGCAGGGGGTGTGAGAAAGGATGGCTAGCAGGGTTCCCAGGAGAAAATGATGGTGTGGTACTTTAGCGGGGAGCTGGGCAAAGTATCCTGATCCTAAGTGGCCTTAAGAAACACGTGTTCGGGCGCCTGGGTGGCTCAGTCGTTAAGCGTCTGCCTTCGGCTCAGGTCATGATCCCAGGGTCCCGGGATCAAGTCCCACATCGGGCTCCCTGCTCAGCGGGAAGCCTGCTTCTCCCTCTCCCGCTCCCCCTGCTTGTGTTCCTGCTCTCGCTATCTCTCTCTCTCTGTCAAATAAATAAATAAAAAAAAAGAAAGAAACACGTGTTCTTCGTCAGGTTGAGGCACAGCAATAGAGACAGAGTGGCAACTGGCCCGGAAGTTTCTGCATGTGGCACATGAAACATAGGGTTTGGCTAAAGTGTGACTTTGTTTTGTAGATGAAATCTGTGCTGATGCCACCAATTCCCTTAGTTGAAGACCATGATACTGACTTGAAGACAAATAAAGTAGGTGCAACTCTTATATCTCGGGAACTCAAAACAAATGGATCCCTTTCTGAGCAGTTAACAAAGCATGAATGGGAACAGGTAGGTATCAAAGTGTCCCCCAACGTGGCAGTGAAGATGCGGCATAGATGAAGTTATCCCTTAGATACATAACAAGTGACTTACCTTTATAAGCAGAGCATATTCTTCCTTTTGAACTCATCGCTATACTTTTAATAGCTTCATTGCGATACACTCCTTCATTTAAAGTATATAATTCAATGGTTTGGGTATATTCACAGTGTTGTGCAACTGTCATGACAATCTAATTTTAGAACTTTTTCATTGCCTGAAAAAGAAACTCCATACCTATTACTAGTCACTGCCCATTCTCTCCCCAACCACCCCCTCCTCCAGCCTTAGGCAACCACTAATCTACTTTTGGTCTTTATAGATTTTCCTATTCTGGACATGTTCTAGAAATGGAGCCATACAATATGTGATCTTTTGTGTCTGGCTTCTTGTACTCAGCGCAATGTTTTGAGGTTCACCCATGTTGTAGGATGTATCAGTACTTTGTTTCTTTTTATTGCTAAATAGTATTCTGTTGTGTGGATATACTACATTTTGTTTATTCATTCATCAGTGGGTAGACATTTGAGTTGTTTCTGCTTCTTGACTATTATGAATAATGCTGCTATAAACATTCACATACAAGTTTTTCTGTGGATGTATGCTTTCATTTCTCTTTGGTATATACCTAGGGGTGGAATTGCTCGGTTATAAGATAATTCTAAGTTGAACGTTTTGAGAAACTTCCAAATTGTTCTCCCAAGTGGCTGCACCATTTTACATTTCCATTACCAATGTATGAAGGTTCCAATTTCTTCACATCTTCTCCTTTTGATTATGGCTGTCCTAGTGGGTGTGAGGTGGAATCTCATTATGGTTTTGATTTGTTGTGGTTTTGGCATTTCTCTAATGATTAATGATGTTGAGCATCTTTTCATGTGCTAATTGGCCATCTGTATGTCTTTGGAGAAATATCTATACAGATCCTTTGCTCATTTTAAAAATTGAGTTATTTATCTTTTTATTATTGCATTGTAAGAGTTCTCCATATATTCTGGATATAAATCCCTTCTCAGATATATTATTTGCAGGTATTCTTTCCTATTCTGTGGACTATTTTTTCCCTCTCTTGATGGTATTATTTGCAGCACGAAAGTTCTTAATTTTGATGAAATCTAATATTATGGTTTTTTTCTGTTTTGCTTGTGCTTTTGGTGTTGTATCTAAGACGCCATTGTCTAACCCAAAGTCATGAGGATTTATTGCTGTAGTTTCTTCTAAGAATTTTATAGATTAAGCTCTTCCATTTGGGTAATCCATTTTGAGTTAATTTTTGTGTAAGGTGGGAGGTAGAGGTCTAGCTTTAATCTTTTACATGTGGATATCCAGGTATCCCAATACCACTTGTTAAAAGGACTTTTCTCATTGAATTTTCTTTTCTTTTTTTTTTTTAATTTTTTTTTTTTTAAAGATTTATTTATTTATTTGAGAGAGAGAGAGTACATGAGAGGGGGTAGGGTTAGAGGGAGAAGCAGGCTCCTTGCTGAGCAGGGAGCCCGATGCGGGACTCGATCCAGGGACTCCAGGATCATGACCTGAGCCGAAGGCAGTCGCTTAACCAACTGAGCCACCCAGGCGCCCTCTCATTGAATTTTCTTGGTGTTTTTATCAAAAATCAACTGACCATAAATACGAAGGCTTATTTCTAGACTCTTAGTTCTACTCCCTGATCTATATGTCTATCCTTACGTCAGTACTACACAGTTTTGATTACTATACCTTTTTTTTTTTTTTTTGAGAGAGAGAGAATGAGAAAGAGAGCACATGAGAGGGGGGAGGGTCTGAGGGAGAAGCAGACTCCCTGCCGAGCAGGGAGCCCGATGCGGGACTCGATCCTGGGACTCCAGGATCATGACCTGAGCCGAAGGCAGTCGCTTAACCAACTGAGCCAACCAGGCGCCCTGATTACTATACCTTTGTAGAAAGTTTTGAAAGTGGGAAATGTGGGTTCTTTGTTTTGTTGTTCTTTTTCAAGATTGTTTTGACTGTTCTGGGTCCTTTGAATTTCCATATGAATTTTAGGGACAGCTTGTCAATTTCTACCAAGAAACAGCTGGGATTGCTTTGAATCTGTGTTCTTATTGCAATCTTAACAATATTATATCTCCAATTCCACGAACATGGAATGTCTTTCCATGTATTTAGATCTTTAATTTCAACAGTGTTTTGTAATAATGTACACTGAGGCGCTTGTTATGCTCAAGTTGAAAATAAATATTCCGAAGTACTTTCAATGCTATTGTAAAATAGAATTGTTTTTTAAATTACCTTTAGAAATATAGTTGACTTATGTATACTGATCTCATGTTGTGAACCTTGATAAGCCTGTTTATTCATTCTAATGATTTTTAGTGGATTCCTTGGGACTTTTATATACATGAGCATGTTATCTGTGAATAAAGATAATTTTGCTTCTTCCTTTCCAAGCTGTCTGCCTTTTATTTCTTTTTCTTCCTTAATTACCCTGTCTAGAACCTCTAGTACAGCGTTGAATAGAAGTGGTGAGAGTAGACATCCTTGTCTTATTCCTGATATTAGGGGAAAGCATTCAGTCTTTCACCATTAAGTGTATTAGCTGTTTGTTTGTATATTAGCTGCCCTTCATCATGAGGAGGGTCCCTTCCGTGCCTACTTTGTTGAACGTTTTTATCGTGAAAGAGTGTTGGATTTTGTCAAATGCTTTTTTTGTATCTATTAAGATGATTGTGTGGGGTTTCCCCTTTATTCTATCAATATGGTGTATTACATTGATTGATTTAAACCAACCTTACATTCCTGGTATAAATCCCACTTAGTCATGGTGTGTAATCCATTTTATATGTTGCTGGCTTCAGTTTGCTGATTTTTTTTTTTTAAACATTTTATTTATTTATCAGAGAGAGAGAGAGAGAGCGCAAGCAGGGGGAGCTGCAGGCAGAGGGAGAAGCAGGCTCCCCGCTGAGCAGGGAGCCCGATGCGGGACTCGATCCCAGGACTCCATCCTGGGACTCGATCCCAGGACTCCAGGATCATGACCCGAGCCGAAGGCAGATGCCCAACTGACTGAGCCACCCAGGCGTCCCTGCTGATTTTTTTAAGGATTTTACATCTATATTCATAAGGGGTATTGTTCTGTACTTTTCTTGTGATATCTTTGGTATTAGCATAAGACTGGCCTCATAGGATGAGTTGGGAAGCATTAGCTCCTCTTCCAGTTTTTGGAGGTGTTTGTGAAGGACTGATAATAATTTTTCTTCATATGTTTGGTAGAATTCATCAATGAAATGATCTGAGCCTGGGCTTTTCTTTGTAGGAATTTTAAAAATTACTAATTCAATCTTTTTCTTGCTATAGTTCTATTCAGATTTTGTATTTCTTCTTGAGTGGTTTTTATCTTGGTGGTCCTGATAGTTTCTCATCCTTGGAATTTGTTCATTTCATCTAATTTATCTAATTTGTTGGCCTAAAGTTGTCTGTAATATATATATTTAAATATATATATATAAAGTCAGTAGTGCTGTCACCTCTTTCATTCCTAATTTTAGTAAGTTGAGTCTCTTTTTTTTCTTGGTCAGTCTCACTAAGGTTTGTTAATTTTATTGACCTTTTCAAAGAACCAATTTTTGGTTTTATTGACTTCCTTTATTATTTGCTATTCTTTCCTTCATTTATTTCTGTTTTCATCTTTATTATTTCCTTTTTCTGCTTGCTTTAGATTTAGTTTGCTCTTCTTTTTCTAGTTTCCTAAGGTGAAAGGTAATGTCATTGATTCAAGATCTCTTGCCTTTTGTAATGAAGCTATAAATTTCCCTGTAACTACTACTTTAGCTCCATCCGGTAAATTTTGTGGTGTTGTGCTTTCATTTTCATTCATCTCAAAGTATTTTCTAATTTCCCTTGTGATTTCTTCTTTAACCCATATATTATTTAGCAGCATGTTATTTAATTTCTGCATATTTGTGAATTTCTCATATTTCTTTCTCTTATTGCTTTCTACTTGAATTCAGTTTTGGTTGGAGAACATACTTTATATGATTTAAATCCTTTGAAAACATAGTGAGGTTTTTTTTATGGGTAGTGTATGGTCTATCTTGGAGAATGCTCCGTGTGCTCTTAAGAAGAAAATGTATTCCATTCCTGTTGAGTGGAGTGCTGTATCTATATATATCCATATCTGTCTGTCTTTGAATGTATTTATCTGTCTTTGAATATATTTATAATAGTTGCTTTGAAATCTTTGTCCACTAAGTCAACATCTAATCCCCTCAAAGGCAATTTCTATTGCCTGCTTGTTTTTCCCTGTGTATTTTTTTCTTTGCATGTCTTGTAACTTTTTTGTTGAAAACTGGGCATTTTAAGTAACATATTGTAGTAACTCTAGATTGTTACTCCCATGCTTCTCTGGGGCTTGTTGTTATTTGCGTTTTCACTCATTTATTTGTTTAGGGCTTGTCTTGACTAGTTCAGTGAAGTCTGTGACCTCTCAGTGTGTCGTCCCTGACTCCTGGGGGTCATTGTAGTTTTAGGTAGGCTCTCTTTGTCTCTTTCCCTGACTTCCCCTTTAAGCTTTGGCCCATCTGCCTCTCATACCCAGCTGTTAGCCTTCGCTAATTGCTAGCTGATTGGGCTATTGTTCTTAACAATGCCCTGGGGCTCACAAATAGCTCCACAATCTGATCCCATTAAAGTCAATCTCCTTTGCAGGGGCAGGGTATGACAATCCTTGAGGCTTATTCTGGCCCTAGGAGGGCTCTTCTCATCTGCCCCTTTCTCAGATTGTCTGTGAAACTTCTGTCTGGTCTGCTCTTGCTGCTAGTATCGTGGAACCATCAGCCTTCTTCTAATTGCTTAGCTCTAAGAAGGCTCTATTTCTTGACTCTGTACTCTTATACCTTGACTGCTGAAAATGTTGACTAAAATGTGATTTCTGTTGTAAAATATCCTCTAATCAATGAGGAGAAAGAGAGAGCTGAGGGGATAGAGAGGGAGGGAGAAGGGGTAGTGGGAGAGAAATAGAATTCATCAATGGCTTGTGCATCCAAAGTATTTAAAAATCAAGTAAATACAAGAGACAACTTATAGCAAGTTGGAAAGGATGCTTCCTTAAATTCTGACATCCAAATTCCAAAGACCAAAGGTTAGAACAAGCACTTCTAGGATGGTGAATAAAAAGGATGATGCCAAAGAGATTGGAGTTTCACAAAAAGAAAATTCTGGCCTCTGGAAGCCTAGATAAATTTAGAATTCTAGAGAGATGGAGCCTTAAGAAGTGGGAGGGAGGAGACTGGGGGTTATTATTCTGTAATAAAACTTCCCACCACCCCAACAATATAGACGAGGCATCTTGTAGTCTCCATGTACATAACTAGAGCTGAGACAGGGTAAAATGGACCAGAATCTCATTCCCAATATTTTTTTTTAAAGATTTTATTTATTTATTTATTTATTTGACAGAGAGAGAGAGATGCGAGAGCAGGAACACAAGCAGGAGGAGTGGGAGAGGGAGAAGCAGGCTTCCCGCCAAGCAGGGAGCCCAATGTAGGGCTCGATCCCAGGACCCTGGGATTATGACCTGAGCCGAAGGCAGACGCTTAACGACTGAGCCACCCAGGCACCCCTCATTCCCAATATTTTAATAATTTCAGTTGTACCCTTAGTTTTCTTCTCTCAGTTGCTGGTACAAAGTGGGTATGCATACTTTAGTTAGCTAGAGTTGAAATTTCCAGATAAAAACAGATTTCATACTTTATTTCTCAATAGCTATGAGCTATGTTATAATAAAGGTCATAGGCTCTTTATTTGCCCCCTACTCACAGAAGTGCATAATTCTTGGCTGAGTGCTATAATTTAAGTTTTATCTTATGTTCACAGAGATGTGGGGGATATATGTACTCATAGCTATGTCACTGTATGGAGACAAGCGTGATACCCTTCCTTTAGGACAGACTTGCAACAAGAAGACCAGAGAGGTTTATTATTTATTTCCTGAGTGACTCCCTTCTCTTAATTCGTCCATTTAATAAGTATTTATTGAACACCTGCTATGTGTCAGTCACTGTTCTAGGCTTTTGAGAATGTCAAAGATCTATTACCTCATGAAGCTTACATTCTAGGGGGAGGAGTTAAATAATATAATATAACAAAAAGCAAGTAAATTATATAATATGCTAAGTGAGAGGTTCTATGGAAAAAAAAATTAAAACTAGAACAAGATTAGGAGTATCAGGAGAACTGGAGGTAGAGGACAGAGTTGTAATTTTAAATAGGGTAGTCGGCCTCATTGTGCAGGCTCCCAAGAGTGAAACGGCTTGGTCGTAGTCACTTGGCTAGTCACTGCGCGACAGAGCAGGATGTGATTCCAGGTCTGCCTTTAATGCCCATGCTCCTTTTCCGAAGGGAAAGATGACTTCAAAGTGATAGGAGGTCTCAAGAAGAAAATGAACTGCTCTGGTGTGTCCTCATCCAGTGAGACAATGGGTAAACAAGGAGTAGGCATCTGAAGCAGTTTAGGTATTGCTGGAAGGTTTGGGTTGAGCACAGCTTTTAAAACGACATGTTCAATGGGGCGCCTGGGTGGCTCAGTTGGTTAAGCAACTGCCTTCGGCTCAGGTCATGATCCTGGAGTCCCGGGAT